TTTTTATATTGAATTTCTTTTTCTAATTCCAATACTAATGACATAATTTAGTTCCTATTGTTTTCCCTCTCTCAGTTCACACTGTACGTACACGTACTTTCGATGTCTCGGTATGTTTCCCAGTCTGTGGTAATTTGCGTTAAGAGAACATATCTACGGGTCCTTTGTTGTACAGATGCCGAGGTCTGGTATCTTTGCCGTGGATGAAGTATGAGATTGGAACCTGTACCTTTGCTGCGTAGATCATATGTATAGGGCCTTATCCGTGTAGAAAAATGGCTCAGAAACCTTACCTTCGCTGCGTAGATCATATGTATTGGGCCTTATCCGTGTAGCAAAATGGCTTTCTTGACTAGACATCATGCATCGCACACCTTTTTTGAGTTGAGAGGTTTTCCAGGTAGAGCCAGTTGACATGAAACGAGTTTCCTTTAATGGACATGGGCCTGAGATGATTGCTTTGATGAAAGAGCATTGATCTGAACGTTCCCTGGTAGAGTGTCTGTGTTTGGATCATTTGCGATGTAGACAGTCCTGTTCAAAGACCTTTGCTATGTGTAGGGCAAGGGTAAAATAACTTTGTTATCTATAGAGCCAGGATAAAAGACTTTGCTATCTATAGGGCCAGGGTAAAAGACTTTGTTATCTAAAGGGCCAGGGTAAAATACTTTGCTATCTATAGGACCAGGGTAAAATAACTTTGTTATCTATAGGACCAGGGTAAAATAACTTTGTTATCTATAGGACCAGGGTAAAATAACTTTGTTATCTATAGAGCCAGGATAAAAGACTTTGCTATCTATAGGGCCAGGGTAAAAGACTTTGTTATCTAAAGGACCAAGGTCTGGAATCTTTGTTGTGTAGAGTTCATAGTTTTAAACCTTTGCTGTGTACAGAGATTTAGGGTCTGAAACCTTTGCTTTGAAAGAGTCTGCCGTAACCTGCATGCCACGTTTTTAATTCATTTGGATACTTGAGTGTTTCATGGTGTACATCATATCGGCATATTTAGAAACCTTATTCATCAATGAAAATACTGAATTTTAATTAACTTTGGTGTCAGTGCACCTTCCGATCTAGGTTTTGGCACTGATTTCGACCAAGTTGTATTTTCCACAATGGTCTCCGTGATTTCAATATCACAACTTGGATACGTCCGCTTCCATCAAATCACGCTTAAATTTTTAACCAAACAAACGACACTAATATACAATTTTGGAAAAAAATATACAGTACTTCAATTTATGCTGACAATAAATTTTCACCAAAACCTTGGCATAATTGACTGATCCCGGGACAAGTTTGAATTGGTGATATCACCTTTTCATTTTGGTGATATGTCCATTTAATTGGATTTAAATAATTAAGTAGTTTTCAAAGTAAAAACGATCTTCACTGCTACCTGCGTACGCATCCACGGTAAACTAATGTTGCCCAATCTTCATCGCCAATATTGCGTTACCTTGTATCAAGATCCGTTCCTTGGGACAACGAATGATTTGCTTTCAACTTCTGCTTATATTTCATGAACTTAACAATATTTGTTGGTGTGAACAAGACGTAAGTGCAGGTGCGTATCTATAAGAAAATTATCTAAACGCAAAACTCGGCGAGGAGTTTGGGGATCGCCCTGCACCCCCAGTTGGTCCAGGGCAAAGACTTAAAGGGGCCCAGGCAGCGTAGACCCCCGGAAGCTCCTAGACTTAAGGTAATTCGTACACATATTGCGACTACTTTTGAATTTTTCGCACCAATTTGCTGATTTTTAATGCACATGGAAATTTCTGCCTGTTTTGACATCGATCCTATATCGTTAATGTTGGCTAAATAAATGATCACGTAATTGTCACCAGTTTTCATCAGTTATTCAGGGCAACTACCAATGTATATCCAGGTTTGCGATGGAATCTGAGCTACTCGTTTCACGAGGCTGTTTTGCTTTGTTTGTGTATTGTTTTCTAGTTGAAATATGTTCTAGCACAAAGCAGCTTTGTGGGAAAATTCCTGCAACATTTTGTATTATCATGTCGTGTAATGTTTATTGTCTTCATGGTATTGCTCCTACACAGTATTTATTTATTTATATCTTTATTTTTCATCTTGCTACTTTAACCAGTTGGCATTGTCTCTGATTGTTAGTCCTCATACAATAACATTGTAAAAATATATATGCAGTTGTTTTCATTGCCACCACATATACGCTCAGTGTCCAAAGCTGAAAACATACCGAGATTTAAATAAAACAATTTTGATATTTTAATCACCATTTCTATACAACAACTTAGGATGTTTTTTTTTCCTAGTAAAGGGCCTTCGGCGTCCATCGGCCGAAGAGATTATCGAGACACCTAAATTTGTACTACCGCTCTCGATTTTGTTTTATTAATTTGTTTTATGTTCTATGTATGTGATGTAATTTATATAATATTTGTGTCTTGATAAAGGGGCATGTTGCCTCGAAAATTGGACCATTCACTTGTCCATACTGTCGTTATTACTTCATTGATCATGTATACATGTATATAAGTATATATATATATATATTAAGATAACTAAAAGCAACACGTCGAATTAAGCATTTGCGCTTAATACTTAATTCGACGTGATGTTTGAAGTCTTTTATAATATTTCCCCGGACGTTGTGCGTTCAACCTTTCTATTTGACTCATTTAAGTGAGAATGATGCAGGAACGAGTTCGGAACAAACAGAGCCTTCGTACAAAGTGGAAAATGTAATTACCACATCTATCTGTTACCAGTAGTTCAAAAGTTAACTCTTTGACTGCAAAGGATTGAGCTTTGTACTGTAAAATATCCTCTCATTCTGCACATATCTCTGCTTTATTACATACGGAAATATTGATAATTCTCGAAGAGTGATTGTAACATAGGTCAATGTTTTAATGCCTCCACCAGCAGTCGAACCCGAAACCCTTGCTTGTTGTACGCTTTACCGGAAGTATTTCACCAGAACCTTTGAAATGTCTAGGCTTTTGGATAATTTTGAAACTATATCTGGGTTTTAATTACGCCATGTACTTTTAGCGTTAGCAATGTACAGCATGTTAAATGAAATGTGTTTTTCTGGTTCAGACATCTTGATATTCAATTAAGCATGTAAGTGATCATTAAAAATTATTCCAAACACTCTAATCAATCCTAAATAGATACATAACCGAAGTTAAAAAGCCTGTCACGTTAACGTACGAACAACGTTCCATTTTCCCCTGTTTAAACATCACATTTTACCTCATCATCAGCGATCTTTTCTACTTAGTATCTGATTTTAGAATGCATCAGGGTGTTGTCCATGCCCCCGACTACTTGACCTACCATTGATGACGAGACCCAATATTTTGAAGAAAAAAAGAGAAAATAACCAGGTGAACGTAACTTGTATCTAGGATGAAGCCCAACCGGTTTGTATCGATGCAATTCTGTGACATTTATGAGAAGGACATATTCTGTGACATTTATGAGAAGGACGTAGGGTCATTTTCGTGCAACGTGCTTGCCGTATTTTGTTTCACGTGCACAGACCACTTTAGCAACCTCGTATGTTTGTCTTTCTGACTTCATATATGTATAAAGCGTGCTGGAATATTAAGTCCTTGCCGTGGAATAAACACCTATGGAGACAAGCCGGGTGAAGTGTTGTTCTCATATTCATTGTTTGATCTTTATTTGTGTTTGAAATATTTATCCTTTTCCCTGTCTTTCTCTTCTTGACTTCTGCTTTCGCTTGTAGTTATTGTAATCTTAAACATCCAAATCGAAGAAGGTCGCTTATCAGTCATAAAATCAAAGGGTAGAACTAGGGACTCAGATAAACCTACCAATGAAATTTGAGGAAAATCCATTCACTACTTCTCAAGAAATAGCGACAACACACCTTACTTATTAAAATCCAAGATGGCAGCCTGTCAACTTTTTTTGCAGTTCCGAAATCAAACATGCACTTCTAGGAGCTAAAGGGCACATACATTATTTTATACGTATGAAATTTGAAGAAAGATAAATCCAGTGCTTCTCAAGAAAAAGCAATAACAAATTTTCATTGTAAAAAATACTACATTGCCTCCTGTCGGTCATTTCGTTTATCCGACCAATGCCAAAATCAAATATAGGCACAACTAGAGACCAAGTGGTGAAAAGCATATGAAATTTGAGAAAGTGCACAGTGTACTTCATTGTAAAAATCCAAAGCCGCATGTCGGCTATTTTGTTTTTCTGATCAGTCCCAAAATCAAACGAGCACAACAAGGGACCATGGATAACTTACAAATGAAATTGAGAGAGATCCGTCCTCTACTTCTAAACAATGGCGATAATGATAAAAACAAAGTTTACAAACAGACGGACCACGGACGTAGGACGATTTCAACTACCCAAGTGAAAAAAAAAACAACAACAACGTACTACTAATTTGGAATACATGTTATAAAATAGTAATGATGCCACCATATATATGCTAAAAACCAACAAGAAATGTTTGCCTTATAAATTACTTTCGGCAACACATTTGTATCAAAGCTTATCTACCAATAACTTCTGCAAATAATTGTACAAGGCTAGTGCAAACTAATAAATGGCTGTGACTCCGGACAAAAATTACCCGGGCATTTTATTGGAAGTGCTTAATTTCCCATGACACATCAGTTAACAATAACACCTGTCACATTTGAGTAGTTATTTCCGGTTCCTTTCCAGGTGCGACATGGAGGTTCATTAAGGAGCACACTCTGGCACAAAAAACATGAACTATTGAAAATCTCGGTTCGTTTAAGGTGGATAAGTACCTTCCCATCTTTCATCCACGTATAAGACGGAGAAATATCTTCACAACGGGTATGTAAAAAGCTCATGTAAATGACGGATGTAAACAATACGACCGGAAGGTCACAGACCGACGAACCGTCTGTGTAGTTGTCAAACGATCAAGGGAGGCTGTGCTGTAGGATCAGACCGATGCAGGGTATGTGTGATGGTGTCGGAGCAGCATGCACAGTGTAACAGGGCGACAGTGGACCCGAACATGGGCGATATGTTGTCTCCTCGCCAGCCACCTGTTAACTTGCGTAGGTAGGTATTACCCTGGCCACTGGACACCCAGGTCGGGTGAGTCACGTTCAATGTTTTCATTTCAGTACACATGTGTAATCGATGCTCTGACATAAATAGTCGAGGAATACATCATTGGATCTATGTGTATACTCATCAGGTTGTATTTTTCCGAGGCAGTTAAAATGTTACTTTCATTCCTGGGAGTACACTACAATACTTTATAATGTCACACAGTACATGTGCAATATTTAAGGTAAGATACCACCTTTAAAATGATCTTTGTTTCAGTTGAATTTTCATTTCCTTTACATGCTTTGTGTTATACTTGATAATGATGCATGTGTGCATTTTGTGACCAGCATACTTGATCATTTCAGCATGTTCCATTTCATGTTATCATTATCAGCGTTAGTTTCAAAATTTCTGATAAAGTTGCCAACTTCAGAACTCCTCAACTTTATATAGAAATTTCAGAAGTAACTGAATGTGTTTACTTCTGTAGAATTTCCATGTGACATAAATGGAAATACATACATTATGAAGGGGGCTAGATATTAAGATCTAAATCATGTGATCATTCTTTCTACCACATCTTTTCCTTGTGTTTAAAACTTTGTAATGCAAAACATGTTTGGATCTATTCATTTAACCTGAGATAATGAATACAATATCATGCTCTTGAGTAATAAATGTTAAGACAGAGTTATATCCCTTCCTCAGGAGACAACGTACATGTACGCAATTCACAATTCTAACAACAATACAATTAAATACAATATGCTTCTGTTTTCACTGGTTTTGAAATATAATAGTAGTGAAATTTGTGAGGTTTGTATTTTTTTTACCATAGTCACTGATGTTTTACACAATCTAAAAAGATAAAAATTAAGAGAAACACATTGAAACCATTACCAATAGTTCAACACCATGGAATATCCACTCATAGAGCTTTAATTGGTGATAAATTTGTGAGAGATTTTAGAATGTATATATGACATACATCATTTACATGCACATATTTTCAAGTTTCACATCTTTAACATAAATGTTTTATGATTTCTAACATAGACTAGACTTGTTACATTGTGATCACAGTTTTCTTTACACTGTCATGTTTATTTCCAGCAGAATTTGCAGTACATGCATGTGCACATCTTCTGTTTGACCAATACTTCTGGACTATTATTGAAAACTGTTAGTTTTGTGGCATAATTAAGACACACATATTGCTTTTGTTTCAGGCTGGTATTTATATCAAAGGCATGAACCACATTTTTACAAATCTTCCTTGACTTTTGGAATTTTCCTTAACTTAAAATTGCTCATAGGAAAGCATGATATATGTTTAGGCAATTTCCTTTAAGTTTTTCATTGACTTATGTGATGCTTTTCTATGGTAGTTAAGATTTCCTTATGTTAAAGAAGATTCATGAAACTGAGGCCTGACCAATGTTAAATGTATATGTATGGGTTCAGCTTAGTTTATTAGCACACGATCATCAGAGGGTGGGCTATTCAAATTGCCCTTATACGTCCATGGTCTGTCCCTAAACAAGTCTTCGTATCACCATTTCTTGAGAAAAATCGAATGGATCTTTCTCAAATTTTATATGAAGGTTTCCTTGAGGCTAGGTCCCTAGTTGTCTCCCTTCGATTTTGGGACTAATCAGAAAAACAAATTGGCTTACAGGTGGCCATCTTGCCTATTCTTGGATTTTGACAATGAAAGTTGTTATTGCCATTTCTTGAGGAGTACAGGACAGATCTTTTCCAAATTTTAAATGTAGATCCCTTGGGGTCTATCTTTGGTTTTTTCATTATCATTATTATTTTGGAACTGATCAGAAAAACACATGACCAAATCCAATTGTCAAATCCAAAAAACAGTTGCCTGATACCTAGGTTATGATCTCTTAAGAGGAATTTTGAAATATCATATAACTCAGAGCAAGAAAAAAGGAAAAAATAAAAGAGTAGGAAAAATATCCAACTTTTAAAGAATAAAGAAATATATCCAACTTTTAAAGAATAAAGAAAACTAAATAATTTTGATCGACAAGATCAGTAAAACATTACGATACAAACATATTACGGTACATTTTCTATAGGTGACATCAGATTTCCTTTTATAGTATACTGTTTTACATATACTGGACAAATCTTTTCTTTAATAATATTCTTCTAAATAATGTATTTATATAAATAACTGAAAAATGGAAGCAGGAATGTTTTAGACAGGCACATAATTTCCTTGTGCAATGAGTAGTTATCATCAGGTAGACTTGTTTGATGCCCATTAGCTTGTATGCTGGAGAGCTTCCTCATTATAAACATAGTTCTCATTGGAGAATGTGATGTAATTACTTATATCGACCAAGATTTGCTGTACATGTTGGATGCTGTTGATGAAGCAGGATATGCTTACTCTTCATTTTCTGTACATTGTTTCTTTATATAAATATACATAAAACTTCAGATTCAGTTTGTTACATTTGGCAGGATTAGGTTTACAGTTTCTTTCCTTCTTTTGACATTATCATGAGAAACATACATTTTGAAGATAATGTTAAAACAGGGCTCACATTTTTGTCATGGAATGATTCTGATCAGCCTGTTGCCATAGTACTCAACTAAGTGTCATTAATTGATATAGCTGGTCCTAAATCTAAATTGACTTCAAATAAATTATATTAGAAAAACTGATATTCCTTACAATTTCTGGTCAAGTTATAACTATATGATTTTTTTGAAAATTTAGTGAAAATGTGCAGACTTACTTAGTAAATGGACAAGTTTTCGTCTTGAATTTGATTTATCAAAAGTTTGACATGACAGCTATGTACCTTTATCTGTTCAAAACATATTTCACACTTCTCAAGTTCTACCAAATTAATGTGTGTAAGTTAACATTGCCAAGAATGTTCTTGGATGATGCTTACAAAGCATTGTTATTTTTTGGGTCAGCTTTATTTTGTGCCAGGCATATAGAAGAAACAAACATACGAAAGAGGCTTCCATCTATGAAACACATTTTCAAATCTTAATGTACTACCAGCATGGTAGAGAAAGACAGAGGCAGATCCAGAGAGAAGTCCAACCAAATTTTGCAAAGTCTGGTTTTTGTTTGAAACTAAAATGGCCACCTAAGCTTTGTCACCATCTTGAAAAAGACCTTTTACCATCATGTTTAAACTGAACCCTGAAAGGAGTGATGTTGTTATTACTTAGGATGTTTGAAGATCCATAATGGCTATGAATACATGTATATATACCACAGCAGCATCTATCAAATAAGTTTTAACCCACTATCACTGTTGGTAACTATACAGGATGGCCATCTTCAATTTCTAGCCAACACTTGACTTAACAAAATTTGGTTTAGTTTGTCTCTGTATCATCCCCTATCAAATTTAGATTTTAAACTTAATCATGCTGGTAGTACTTAAAGAGTTGAAATGTGCTTTAATAATGGGGAAGATGCAAAGTCTTGATAACAAAATTTTTAATGATATAATGTATAAAAAACAGAAAGATGAGGGCAATCACATTCCATCTGGTTTCTAATTTTATATTGATTAATGAAGTCAATGACCCTTCAACACATAAAAATAAAATACATCACTATAGATATCATGTATCCGTTAAGTCAATAATGATACTTTATATCTGTAGGTATTTGATATGATTACAATTATCATTATCATACTTATATGTACCTATGATCTCTATATTAGAACATGCAATAAAGTTTACACTTTACTACAAGTAAGCAGACAATATTCATATATTCACACAATCCTGATGATAATTCTAAAGCATTATACATGACACTGCATTCAATCAATTCCCGTTACATATCAGAACAGTGTTTATCATTTACCCACCCAGACAATGGGTCAAGGTCCTATGTCTTGGAAGAGCTGCTGTGACTGGTTGGTTAAGGTATCTGACTGTTTTATCACAAGCCCTCCACCTCTGAGTCACAGGTTCCGGGCCTACTTTGGGCATATGCCAGGTACTGGCTGCAGATCCAGTGTTATTCTTTAGGAACTCAGGCTTTCCTCCACCACCAAACCTGGCAAGTCCTAAAATAGCCCTGGCTGATCAAATATGTGGTAAACCAAAACCCCAGTCTTGGAAATATTAACTCTCTTACACCAGTCTCTGGATAATATAATTCTTTGAATAGAACATTTATATCGATAACTAATATACTGACAATGTACTTCTGTATCAGTGTAAGATAAAAACCATGTATGAAAGACTGTAAATGGAATCCATAAATAAGATTGTCATTATATATAACTTAATAAATGGATTCAAGTGAATTAAAGACAACACTATTTCAAATGATGCACTTCAAGGTAAACAAGGAATATGATCAACTAGGCATACTAATATTTATGTATTAACCTACCTTCTGTGCTCTTGAGAATTTTATGCATTTGTTCGCTGGAATGGTCACTTGTCATCGAAATCCCGCCAAACATGAACAGACAAGACAATACCTGGACACAAACATATATTATGTCACACAGGTAAACTGGACACATATGTACATGATGTACATAAGTGCTCTAGCAACCAGCATCAGAAGATGTGGAAATACCATCGAAGCAACACAAAACAAAATAGAAAGAGTAGAACATGGGACCAAGTTGAACCGATATTTTGAAATCTGAAAAGGATCTATCAAGGACTTCTGGTTCAAGAAATAGTGATATCATATGTTCATTGTCAGAATTAGAAATGGTCTCTTGTCAGCCATTTTGTTTTTATGATTAGTCCCAAAATTGAAATTGCACATCAAGAGACCATGGGGAACTTAGATATGAAATCTGAGAAATATCCAACTACATGTAGTTCTTCTCCAGAAATAGATATTCTTTTATTGTCAAATTCCAAGATGTTTTACTGATCAGTCCTTAAATCAAAAGGGCATAACTATGGACAGATTGGAACCTTCACCTGAAATTATTAAATTGAAAGATCCATCAAGTACTTCACAAGAAATGGGGATCAGGATGGACAGATGGATCTGATGATAGTGGGCTAAAAAAGGCTTTATGATTTTATTATCACAACTGGAGACATCAATAGCTGAATGGCTGACGTGTAGTCATGTATTGGCATTGTTATACGGTATGCATCACACTGCAACAAGCTCAATGTATGCATAAAATTTAAACATGTACATATGTAATACATAGATGAGCAGGACTAATGGAAAACCTCATATTGTAGCTAGTGTTTTAAATCCAATGTCAGGGTAGTGGAATTTGCTAAACAGCTTGCACTATGATCCCTAGCTATGTGTAATAACACTTTCAACTCTAATTCATTTCACACTATCATTACACTCAACTTTTTACCAAGGCAGTGTTTTCTTTTTATAAATGATTTCGACCATTTTAATTAGTTTTCACTGTGGTTTCTCTTAAGTGGGTAAAATTGATTGAATTCCACGTTGACATCGGTGTGCTTGATGGCATGCCTTAAGGGCACCGAGAAGCATGTTGATTAGTAAATCTCCTTCCTTTGACAGTAGTTTTATAGTGAGACAGAGCAGTTAATGTGGTGAAAGGTAATTAGCTTCTGTCCAATATCAGTAAATGAAATTGCTATACATGTACAGTTGCTGTCATCATTTGATTAGTATTCAAATTTAATTAGATTGTCTGCCAATATAAGATATTGATTATTTCTAAATATGGTTTGTCCTCATATGAACATAGCCTAGTAATAACATCTGCAGTACTTCATAAAGTTTAGGTAGTTCTAAACAATTTATATCACTTAAAATATCTGTTATCTCAAACTGAAAGCCTCAATTGTTATATCAAGTCATTATCAGAGCCTGACATGGTATATCATGTCATTATCAGAGCCTCACATGTTATATTGAGTCATTATCAGAGCCTCACATGGTATATTGAGTCATTATCAGAGCCTCACTTGTTATATTGAGTCATTATCAGAGCCTCACATGGTATATTGAGTCATTATCAGAGCCTCACTTGTTATATCAAGTCATTATCAGAGCCTCACATGGTATATTGAGTCATTATCAGAGCCTCACATGGTATATTGAGTCATTATCAGAGCCTCACATGGTATATCATGTCATTATCAGAGCCTCAAGTGTTATATCATTTATCAAGTGTTATATCAAGTCATTATCTCACATGGTATATCGTCATTATCAGATCCTCACATGTTATATCAAGTCATTATCAGAGCCTCACATGTTATATCGTATTATTCACATGTTATATCAAGTCATTATCATATCGTCATTATCAGAGCCTCATTTGTTATATTGAGTCATTACCAGAGCCTCACATGTTATATCAAGTCATTATCAGAGCCTCACATGTTATATCGTCATTATCAGAGCCTCACATGGTATATCAAGTCATTATCAGAGCCCCGCTTGTTATATCGTCATTATCAGAGCCTCACATGTTATATCGTCATTATCAGAGCCTCACATGGTATATTGAGTCATTATCAGAGCCTCACAGAGCCTCATTTGTTATATTGTTATATTCAAGTCATTATCAGATTTGTTATATTGAGTCATTATCAGAGCCTCACTTGTTATATCGTCATTATCAGAGCCTCACAGTTATATCAGAGTCATTATCAGAGCCCCGCATGATATATCGAGTCATTATCAGAGCCTCACATGGTATATCGAGTCATTATCAGATCCTCACATGTTATATCAAGTCATTATCAGAGCCTCACATGTTATATCGTCATTATCAGATCCTCACATGGTATATCAAGTCATTATCAGAGCCTCACATGTTATATCGTCATTATCAGAGCCTCACTTGTTATATCGAGTCATTATCAGAGCCTCACATGGTATATTGAGTCATTATCAGAGCCTCACATGTTATATCGTCATTATCAGAGCCTCACATGTTATATCAAGTCATTATCAGAGCCTCACATGTTATATTGAGTCATTATCAGAGCCTCACATGGTATATCAAGTCAGTATCAGGGCCTCACAGGTTATGGTTCATTTGCAATGTTTAAAAATTAATATATTATGTATTTGTTATTCATTCATTTCCCTGTTTCACAGAAAAGCAATGAAAAATGATGATAGATAAACGAGAGTGTCATTTCTGATAAGCTGTTCTGAAATTTGAGAATGAAAATTTACTTTATAATTTTTGTGAAACGGATGCCAGGTTTCAAATGTCTGGCAAAAATTCCCACATAATATATGCCTTTTTTGATAGAGATTGTAAGGTGAGTAACGGGGTTGGGTACTTACAGTTCTAATAATTATTATAATTTCATTGTGTGGACATTTAGTTTTACCAATTACAATAAGATGGATGTCAGTCTTCTGTACACTAAATATCATTTATACATGTATGTTCTTGTTCTACAGTTATAATATTTTTTCGTTGTAGAGTCCCTCACAGGCAGAGATGTGTGGACCAAAACAGCTTGTGCTGGAGAATGTAATGACAATTACTCTCTTGAATGTCCCTACCAACAGAAAATTGCCATCAAAGATCTGCATTACTACTCCAAGCCTTTGACTTCAGAATGTCCGAGCACAGCCTGTCAGAACCTTGACAAATGTTGCAGATACGATCCATATGACTGTAGAGTGCCATTTTCAGAGTCCAAGGCATATGATGTGTACAAGCGTTGTTCTGGGATGCAGCGGTGTGGCTGGCTACATGCCGATAGGATGCCCTACTACTGTAACAGTAGGAACCACACCAACTATGTCCGTGCCTCCTACAAATGTGTTGATGGTATATCTTATACTTACTACATCCTCACTTTACACTTGTCATGTCTGTTCACATATAAATGCATAAGTTAAAAATTCTGAAGTTCCAGGACTATCTTTCACTAAAAGCTGATTATTGAAGATATGGTTTGAATTGGCTCTTATTTGAATTTAAATGCAAATGGAAAGCAACAATTTCGTCTGGTTCACTATTAATTCAATCTGGGAAACTAAACACAATAATTGTTTTATGATAGGTTCTGAAAAATTATGAATATAGATATAGATCTTCCTGAAATATTCTTGTAATATTACATTTATTTAACATATTCATTATGTATAAAACAAGGTTTGAATGTTTTGTGTAGTTCAATATTACATGAAAACATTTGTTTGATTATATTTGTAACAAAACTAGGAATGTATCATTAAAAATTGATTTTTTAATGCAGGCATTTTCCAGGGGCTCTGTGGGGTCAAATACAGCATGGTTCCATCTCCCATTTGGATTTGTTTCAAAATATGGCTAAATTCCCAAAATATATAGTTTACTCAAGAAAAATTCCTTCCCAATTGCTCATTTTTTCCCACTAATGAGATTAAATAGACCCATTCTCTGATGTGTGAAATAAAGCCCTGCAATGATTTTCTTCATCGTTATGTGTGCTTCCATTACAATAGGCTGATGTCATGTATGATGTCACGATAGTCTTGTTGTGTTACTGATTGTCAGGCATTCACATCAGTAAAGTCTGATTTATGATAAAAAAAGTGTTTATGATTTTTTTGTAGATTCCTCCTTCCTAGACATCTGTTCTAATCAGTCTCTTGAAGGAGACACCATCAACTTGATATTTAATGGAACTCATATGGAAACCTCTAACCGTCAGTCCAACCGCTGTGTGTGTATTCTGTCTACTTCTAACTGTGATTCCATTGCAAAGCTTCACTTCCGCACAGTTGATGTGCGACTTCACGAGGCCAGCAACATCTCAAAGTGTCATCCCCATGCCAAGTTTACCATCACCGATACAAATGGGCCTCGTGACTACAAATGTCAGACAAACCATTTTTACCGACAGTTCATGGACATATACTACAGTTCATCCTCTTATGCTCGCATGTCTATGTACTACGAACCAGGCGTGTACCCAGCCCAGGTTTGGCTGCAGGTCAAAGGTAAGACATCTATTAAACTTTGTCAGTGCTAATCAATGTTACTGTTGACATTCAGTGTTGATCTAAGTCACTGTTGACATGTCAGTGCTGATCAAAGTTACTGTTGATTTGTCAGTACTGATCACAGTTACTGTTGACAGGTCAGAGCTGATCAAAGTTACTGTTGACACTCAGAGTTGATCTAAGATACTGTTGACAGGTCAGAGCTGATCAAAGTTACTGTTGACACTCAGAGTTGATCTAAGATACTGTTGACAGGTCAGTGCTGATCAAAGTTACTGTTGACAGGTCAGAGCTGATCTAAGTTACTGTTGACAGGTCAGAGTTGATCTAAGTTACTGTTGACAGGTCAGAGCTGATCAAAGTTACTGTTGACAGGTCAGAGTTGATCTAAGTTACTGTTGACAGGTCAGAGCTGATCAAAGTTACTGTTGACAGGTCAGTGCTGATCAAAGTTACTGTTGACAGGTCAGAGCTGATCAAAGATACTATTGACAGGTCAGTGCTGATCTAAGTTACTGGTATTGATCGTGTTTTCAAGATTGCTGTGCTCTTAACTGCTTTGACTGGGGTTTTGACTTTTTAAGATTAATTTCTCTGCACCAAGGATATTTTAAGTTCAATACGGGTCCTAGTTCTGTGGGCCATATTTTGATTCAGATAAGATTTTCAAGATTGCCAAGAGCTGCCATTTAGACCTTGACTCCTGAGGTTTGTCTCTTCTCCTTCTTTAACTTCACACAGTTTGTTCAGTTTGTGTCCTAGATGTGCCTATGCCTATTATGAGTTTGATTAGACATTTAAGTAGACCATATTGGATTTTTGACTTTTGAATCTCATTACAACTTTTTCTCAAGACTTTCATGACAGATTTTCTTCAGACTTGGTGCATAACTTCATTATCTCTCTGTGGTGCATGCCAGCAGCCATATTAGATATTGATTTTTAAATATTGTTTGCAGTGTCTCGCAAAAATTGTAATTAAAAGATGATATTCATGAAAATCTAAAATAGTTTTCATTATTTTCCCTAGTAATAATGTGTGCCAAATTTTGAGCTTGATTGATATCCTTATTCCATTTTCAATTTCACATGATTCATTCAATAATAGTTGTTGCTTGTTGATATTACCTTTTAAATCTTGAACATGATTATACACTGTCATTCATACTTATAAAACACATCTATGAATAGAAAAATTCATTCAAGCATTAATGCCTGATGCACTACCATATTATTACAGCAACCTTACCAGGCCAAAAAGTGGTAATTTCATGTGGGAAGAAGAGTGCTGAAAATCCACGATTTTGTGGTCCAATTGAAATGATACCAACTACTCCTAAAACATACAATCCATCAGCCACAGTTAGTGAAGGTAAGATTGTAGTTAAATGAAAACACATTAGGTTGTTGTTAAAACCAACAGTTAAAGGAGTAAAAATTTGATATCAATTAGATATTGGATTTTAATGACACAAATTGTAGCTGTTCGCTGTAGTCAGTCTCTGTGTTAAGGAGGCTGCATGCTGACTATTATAGTTAGATGTACATAAACATACAGTTATATTCCCACCTGAAACCATGACAACATCATACTTGTGCAAAAACAGAACAGGAAAATGAGTTTATTAGTTGAGCAAAAACTAGTGAAAACAAGCTTTTTAGTGAATGTAAATGTGTAGTTAGGTATATAGTTAATGTAAGTTTGTAGTTAGGTAAGTTTGTAGTTAGGTATATAGTTAATGTAAGTTTATGGTAAGGGTATATAGTTAATGTAAATGTGTAGTTAGGTAAATAGTTAATGTAAGTTTGTAGTTAGGTATATAGTTAGGGTATATAGTTAATGTAAGTTTGTAGTTAGGTAAATAGTTAATGTAAGTTTATAGTAAGGGTATATAGTTAATGTAAGTTTGTAGTTAGGTAAATAGTTAATGTAAGTTTATAGTAAGGGTATATAGTTAATGTAAATGTGTAGTTAGGTATATAGTTAATGTAAATGTGTAGTTAGGTAAATAGTTAATGTAAGTTTGTAGTTAGGTAAATAGTTAATGTAAGTTTGTAGTTAGGGTATATAGTTAGTGATGTAAGTTTGTAGTTAGGTAAATAGTTAATGTAAGTTTATAGTAAGGGTATATAGTTAATGTAAGTTTATAGTAAGGGTATATAATTAATGTAAGTTTGTAGTTAGGTAAATAGTTAATGTAAGTTTATAGTAAGGGTATATAGTTAATGTAAGTTTGTAGTTAGGTAAATAGTTAATGTAAGTTTATAGTAAGGGTATATAGTTAATGTAAGTTTGTAGTTAGGTATATAGTTAATGTAAGTTTATAGTAAGGGTATATAGTTAATGTAAATGTGTAGTTAGGTAAATAGTTAATGTAAGTTTGTAGTTAGGTATATAGTTAATGTAAGTTTATAGTTAAGGGTATATAGTTAATGTAAATGTGTAGTTAGGTATATAGTTAATGTAAGTTTGTAGTTAGGTAAATAGTTAATGTAAGTTTGTAGTTAGGTATATAGTTAATGTAAGTTTGTAGTTAGGTATATAGTTAGTGATGTAAGTTTGTAGTTAGGTATATAGTTAATGTAAGTTTGTAGTTAGGTATATAGTTAGTGATGTAAGTTTGTAGTTAGGGTATATAGTTAGTGATGTAAGTTTGTAGTTAGGTATATAGTTAGTGATGTAAGTTTGTAGTTAGGTATATAGTTAGTGATGTAAGTTTGTAGTTAGGTATATAGTTAGTGATGTAAGTTTGTAGTTAGGGTATATAGTTAGTGATGTAAGTTTGTAGTTCGGTGTATAGTTAGTGATGTAAATTTGTTGTTAGGTATATAGTTAGTGATGTAAGTTTGTAGTTCGGTGTATAATTAGTGAATGTACGTTTGTAGTTAGGGTATATAGTTAGTGATGTAAGTTTGTTGTTAGGTATATAGTTAGTGATGTAAGTTTGTTGTTAGGGTATATAGTTAGTGATGTAAGTTTGTAGTTTGGTGTATGATTAGTGAATGTATGTTTGTAGTTAGGTATATAGTTAGTGATGTAAGTTTGTAGTTCAGTGTATAATTAGTGATGTAAGTTTGTAGTTAGGTATATAGTTAGTGATGTAAGTTTGTAGTTAGGGTATATAGTTAGTAAATGTAAGTTCATAGTTTAGGTTAACAACTTGTGAAGGTAAATTTGAAGTTACAAGAAAACTTTTAGTGAAAGTAAGTTTTGTAGATGGGTGGAAAAACTAAACGAGGGTTTGTCATTATGGGAACATTTACTTCAATTATTGTGAAGGGGAAGAATTGAGTGAAATAGATTGAGTAACAAACATTGTTTGTTGGCTGGGTTTATCACTCTGTGAGCAGGTACATTTTGAGTCATGGTCTTTTTGTAATAGCTTCTGGGTGCCTCATTGAGTGACATACAGGAGGCCCATGGGATGGCATCCAGAGCAACTGGGTGTGTGTCTCACCTAAGGACAAATCCTCAGCAGTATATACTAGTCTCAGTTTGATTCTCTGAGAAATACAAACCCATGTATAGTAGATGAAAATACCTGTTAAGTCTCATTATATTTGAGATGATATTTGTGTATGTATATTGTAGATGACATCTTTGAAGGGAATGGAGAACATACACAGGGTCCCCTTCCAGCCAACAATGATGGGGGTGGAGCCCAGTCTAAAGATCATACCGGTAAGACATTAGAAACATTACAATTAAAGTATTATTATTGCACACCACTTTGGAAGTTTTTGATGGACAATTATTTGTCACTTTAACTATATGTTTAAGGACCTATAGTTTTACTTGGATTTTCCAGAGAGTAAAAATGTACAGTTACCAACTATATATAGAATTATGCTTATCCATTGGTCAAGTTTGAGAATTCATGTTTGAGATGGACAAGGTCCCTTGTAAAATTATGATATAAAATATCTATTATCATTCAGTCAAGGTCACTGATACAATTGATATGAAATATCTATTATCATTCAGTCAAGGTCACTGATACAATCAATATGAAATATCTAGTATCATTCAGTCAAGGTCACTGATACAATTGATATGAAATATCTATTATCATTCAGTCAAGGTCACTGATACAATTGATATGAAATATCAATGATACATACAATTGATATGAAATATCTATTATCATTCAGAAATATCTAGTATCATTCAGTCAAGGTCACTGATACAATTGATATGAAATATCTATTATCATTCAGTCAAGGTCACTGATACAATTGATATGAAATATCTATTATCATTCAGTCAAGGTCACATTCAGTCAAGGTCACTGATACAATTGATATGAAATATATATTATCATTCAGTCAAACTTACTGGTGCAATTTATATAGAATATCTATCTTCTTTTGCTCAAGGTCACTGATATATATAATACAAAATAACTATCATCATTCAGTCAAGACTACTGGTACAATGATACAATATATATATATATCCTTGTAACCCTACAATAAACCAAGGAGTTCAACATACAAATTCTGACACAGATTCAAGAGATGGACTTATTGCAGGACAATAAAGCAGCAATGGTTTGTAATTCTACTAAACAGTGATAAACATGGTTTGGCTTTTTACAAACATGGGCTTATTGACAGATGAGATTCTTTTTCTTTTCCATATAGATATCTGATGTGTACTATGTTAACACATTACTTATACTATACTTGATATACCTCTCTATTTTGACATACATTCCTGACATCTAAAAAGTGCTGGTGATTATTATTTTTGAAAGTTTTGAAAACATCAGCAAATCAATTGATAAAGACTGTAGTACATGTTGGATCAGAGAAAGGAAAGAAATTAGAGGGATGTTTGCAGTGATAGTGTGAATATAAACCAGGAATATGTTCTGCATTACAATTATTGTCTTCAGTATCAGAACTTACTACACAGTCTTTATTTTCTAGAGTGGCCAGCTATCATAGGAGGGGCTGCAGCAGGGGCTATTGTTCTCCTTCTACTTATCATTCTCATCTGTATCATCCGGCGGAGACAATCAAGAAAACGGTAAATCACAACATAGTTATACAAACTGATAATGTTATGTGTGAATACATAGTTATACAAACTGTTAATGTTATGTGTGAATACATAGTTATACAAACTGTTAATGTTATGTGTGAATACATAGTTATACAAACTGTTAATGTTATGTGTGAATACATTGTTATACAAACTGTTAATGTTATGTGTGAATACATAGTTATACAAACTGTTAATGTTATGTGTGAATACATAGTTATACAAACTGTTAATGTTATGTGTGAATACATAGTTATACAAACTGTTAATGTTATGTGTGAATACCTAGTTATACAAACTGTTAATGTTATGTGTGAATACATTGTTATACAAACTGTTAATGTTATGTGTGAATACAGTGACAACAGATTTATATAAGTTAACATTGTTTTGTACTCTTGTTTATTGTATGTTTAATGTTTAATTTCGAATGAAATAAAGTTTACATTAAAGCAATTTTCTGTAATTCATATTGAAAATTACAATTGATATTGTTTGATATCTGTACCAGAGCATCCTTAGATGTTACATATACATTGTTTAAATGGTTTTAAAGTACTTTTTGGCTTGCTGCCATATTACTACAACAAGACCTAACAAATTTAAGCATTAGTAATTTTCAAAGTTAATTTACACAAGCTGTTTGTAAAACAAATATCAAGTGTTTGTTTGTTTTGAGTGATAAATACATTACTGGTATATGTATATTTAATATACAAGGGATTGATTATTAACTCATTTAAATCATGACAAGGCTTTTGAAGTACATACTGTCTTATTCAAGTATTGTTTTATTGTGTTTTAGGAGAAAAGCCAAGGAAAATGATGAGGAGACACGGAGAGTCCTGACGGGTGGAAGCATACCACCACCTCTTCCCCTGGCAGATAGGTACGAAGCACATGAGGGAAACTATTATGAAACAGTAGGGGCTACCAATGGTAAGCCTTCTGGGGACACAGGCAGTATCATAAGTCCAGGAAAAATCATGGAAACTTTTACACCTGGAAAGAAACAAAGCGGACAATTTTTTCCTCCTGATGTTAAACAACCACCTCCCCTGCCAACTCCGAAGGTAAACAAAAAATCTCCAGAATTTGAGGCAAATCCTTACCATATGCCGTGGGATAACGGTAACTTTTCAATGAATCGAGCTGAACAAAGGGATCTTGCGTATGCAACAAGTGATGAGATACAGGTACTGATCCAGCGGATGGAGCAGGATCGTCGTTGTCTCAATGAGGGTGTGAAGGAAGAGGAACAGGTCGTACCCAACCCTAATTTCTATATTCATATAGATGACTACAAGATTAAACAGAATCCACATAAACCTGTAGGGCATGGTGAGGATCATACTGAGGAGGGGGCAGGTGCTAATCCAAGGAATTACGAGGACATTCAAGTGGAATCAGACGAGGATACAACTAACTTAGCCTGCGAAAACCATGGCAGGGTAAAAGTGAATGTGTTGAAGGAATCATCTAATGAAAACTGTTGTGAAAGTGAGGACACAGGTTACCGGTCAGTAGGAAGCCCTGATCAGGTAATGGTCTCTGAGGATGATTACCTCATACCAGGCTCAATCAAGTCATCCCTGTCTGACGGCAGTAAAACTGGAACACTGCCAAAAACAGAGGAGGACACAGAAACCCTCACAAATCCCCGCCAGTCTGATGTTTTTGAGGCAGACAATGAAGCAGATGAAACCAGCACGAAGTTTTGACAATATTTGGTCGGAACTCATTTAGTCACAAATGTATACTCTTGTGTTGTGTAAGTTGAAATGACCATGCACTTGTATACTGCAATGAATTTCAAACATTCTTGCCAATTTGTGATCTAGGCTAAACGCTATAACACTGTCAGTATTTTAAATTCCATGTTGATGTTACACTTTAATGCCCATTGAATTTTTGTATATTTAGGTATACCGATTGTTTTGTTCTCAAGTAAACATTTCTGCTGAAAAAAATTCATCATGATAATTCTATGTTAGTTGTTAAAAAATTATCAGATAGATTTTTATGCACTCTTTCAATTTTTCATTGCACATCATTCAAGCATGCCAAGTTGCCACGTTTCAAGTGATATCAATATGCTGCCAAAGGAATGAAGTGAGACAAGTTATTAATTATAAACTAGAGACCCAAATTATTTAGATTAATTTTCATAGAGATAAGGATGTATACATTGAAATCAAAAGGTTTAACATGTTTAGCTAAATAGTTTTTTCAACCTGTTTGATTCTAGGAATAACATTTATGTTCATCAATCATGTAGTTTGTTGAGGAAAATAAGAGGTTGGGTAAGCAATAATGACGGAAACTTAAGACAATGTCACTTTTTTAGGTTCATACAACTTCAACATTTTCTCTCAGATAGATGTCTTTTAAGCTCTTTAGATATACATAGTATTATGCTGTCAACTGCAAAGTTTATTTCAAGAAAAAGTGACATTTTATCATGGTTTTGACAGACTTTCTAAAAATAGTAACACTAAGTCAATTTCATAAATCAGCTACTTATAATGCAGGAAAAAGAGTGTTGCTTACTAGTAGTACATTGTATTGTAAGAGGGGTGCATTTACATTAAAGTGTTATTTCACTTTTTTTAGAAATACTAGTTTTGTTACTAAGGATATCGAAGACAAGTGCAGCCATCTACATGATCGTCTATCATCATGTGCATTGTCTGAGGAGGATATAAAATCAACTCATTCCATTTATATAGAGGAGGTGTTTCACACCTTCACACAACCTGTACCTCTGGCCTTGATCGCGATTGAGTTGTGTTGCTATTTAATTAACATATGAATTACTACTCTAAGTGTTCTGAATGAACGTATGTCTAGTCAATACAACAGTAGTCTGTAGTGTTATCACATATAGATAAACACGCTCACATATTAATGTTTGTTGACATTACAAGCATAAACACAGCCGAAAATTTCGCCATAAATCATAAATTTGTTGACACCCTGTTTTTAGTTTGCATGTGAATTATTGGAAGGAAAGTATGTTGTTCTAAAAAGGTTATTTTATTTGCTGAAACTACAGAAAATTATGGCTTAGAATGGTTTTTTTTTTTTTTTTTTTTTTTTTAATGAATTATTCTAGATTTTATCTGTTACTTATTGATTGACCTTAAATATTTCCTGTATTCTTTATGTGTCTGTTGATTATAAATTATGTGAAGTTTTGAGTCTTTACATCAGCTTGACATTAATATTCAAATTGAAAGAATTTTAGATTGGAAAATTTACTTGTCATTTAAGAAAATATTGTCTGAGTTGACAATCATCATATTTAGTGTCATTTATCATTTATTACTTTTATATAATTACTAAAGTTAATATTAAGTTTATCATTAACTGGTAAACATTCCCACTAACTTGTGAAATTAGTTTCTATTGTGATTGTTATTTGATAAAAGAGTTTATCTAATGTTTTTTTTCCCATCATCAATACTCCAGGGGTTACTATCACTTTTGCTCTCTGCACCCCTTGAACATGTCATGGCAAAATTGAAGGTTCTATGTGTTACACTTCATGGACGAGACGAAAAGTCTATTTTGATCCTTTGATGTACATCAAAAAAATCTTGAGGTTGCACAACATGTTTTGAAATGGCTTTGGCTTTGAAGTTGGATGTCACTCCTTTGTAATATTCAAAAGGAGTCTATCTGCCTGTGATTGGTCAGTTTTAGTCTCTTTGATCCAATCAAATGCCTTTGCTGGTGCCTTCAATTTCGCCACGAGATATTCCATGGGAGCAAAGAGTGAAAGTGATGGTGACCTCTGTAGTATCAAAGGTGATGTTTTCCATTCCATTTACAAAATTCATACCATTCCTCTTAAAATTTTGTTAACACTGTTTCACAGCATATGCACTTATGGCTTCTGTATTCCCATTCCAGATATTGAAAATCCGGTTCTGTTACCAATTTTAATCTGAGTCTCTCCACTCTATGAAATTGTTTATAAAAGTGTTGTATGCAATTTTAATTATATATTACAATGTAATACACATGTACTTAGTTATGCTGGTGTTTATTTCAAACAATAAAAAGTACATCATTAGTTACAAAACAGATTTACTTCAGAAGAGGAGCATAATTTGAATTTCGGGGGAGGGAGGTATTTAATTTCAACTGTATTATTGGCAGGGTGTTGATATGGAGTTCAAAAAGATAAAAACCAGGGTAGTTTGACTTGGTAGAATGATGAAGAAACCAAACTGCTTTTTTTTTCTCTCTCTCTTTCTTTCTCTCTCTTTCTCTCTCTCTAGAGGGGCTGGAGATTATTAGGCAAAATATAATACTTCCTTTAAATGGGATCCAGCTACTATACAGTTGGGTTTTTTTTGTAACACTAATTATTTGGTTAAACATTTTGGATGTTTGTTTGTGGCTGTACATATCTGTAGGTATAGATACAGACATACAAGAAGCAGAGATTTCATGTTAATATCAGCTGAGCATTAAAATTTGTATCTTTAATGCACTAAAACGTTGTGAGATTAAATTCCAAGAAATATTACTAATAACAGGTATGTGTATATAATAGTAACATACAATATATAGAACATTATCAGGTATTACAGGTACCACCGAATATATGTATGGAAGATCACCGAAGATGACAGGGTAGTCACTGAAATGTCACACATTATTTTCTAACTGGTTGGTATAACCATACCAACATAAATGAGAACTTCTTTCCAACAATCTGTATAATATGTTCTGGGGTATACATGTTTGCAGTCTATTATGAATGTTTTTACTTTATATATATAAATATTAAAGTTATCAATATCTAGAAATTGCAATATTTATCATGTTGGGTTTATGCTGTGACAAAGATATACAAGGACATACCTGGTATGTGATTTAATTTCAAACTCAAATGTAATTTGATATGTCAATATATGACACAAAAACACTTTTTTTTTTTTTTTTTTACAAATTAGTTAAAATAATTGTTCTATTTGATAAGGTTGTGATATTTATTTCCTTTTCAGTATTTCAAAAAAAGAAAAAATCTTACAATTAAATTATGGTATCACACTGCTATGTGTGGATATGCCAGTTCTGATATGTATGATATACACAGAAAGCTGACTTCTTGCTGACACCTGAAATTAGAATTAATGTAATGTACAACAAGATTTATGAGCTCTAATGTCTTGATTTTAGTCTTTTTTCAAAAAACATGACAAAACCAATGTTCTACACAGGATGGTAGATTGTCTGCAGAAATAGTTTAATAGTATTATAATAGATACACATATATGTGGCCAAGATATAGGTAACTCCTTATGTTGTAAATGGCCATCTATAGTAATAGAACAGTTGTACCATAAAACATTATAATGAACACAAATGTAGTGATTTTATGCTTAGTGCAAAGTGAGATACGTTTCCTGTCAAATATCCCCATTTATTCATACTCTTTCATCGTGTTCACATTTTAAATAACCACCTCTACTTTGTACAAACCACAGGTGATGTACAATTTCGTACAGAAAATGGGAGAACCTGTTGAAACAATGGATTGTCAGTAAAAACAGAAACATGTTTGCTAGTTGCTGAATTAATGATGCATTACTGTAAAGGAAATTAATCATTTCAATTAAAATATTTAAAACATCACAAGATTTTTATTGGCCAAGATCATATATAAAGTGAAACAGCAGTGGAAACGGTTGTTTCGTGCACACTGAGTAGTTCTAGGAGTAGTAATAGAGAAGCATTTATCTTGTACATCATATATCTGTATACCAATTGACCTCAAATTTTTATATTGTTTTCAGAAATTTTGAACTTGTTATATTTTGGTAAATTTTAAAATGCTGTACTCAAATAAGCTTTAATTAATGAACATTTTTATGCCATGAAAGTTATCTACCTGTTGGATTTCTGGGTTGTGATGTCTCCAACAAGTTATAATCTTAGTGATTCAAATCAATTATATATATATGTGTGTGTAAGAAAAAAAAATATAATTTAAAGATACTGTACTTGGTTAGGCTTTCACAACTGTTAAAATATGGATCATTACATTTTTTGATAAGTTTTTTTATTCTCTCCCAAGTTTGTATCTACCTGTTAAATATTTCGGTTGTGATACTTCTTACAAATTACGACGGTAATAGTTCTTATTTAACACAACGTTAAACCAAAAAAAGAGTGAAAACAAATGTCACTAAAGGTCACTGACCTCCGGCATAAACTTGTTTTAACCACTGATGTATAATACATCCCTGTATTAACATTAATTCCCCTCAGTATTTTCCTAACCCATTTCATTGCCTTCATGTATTTGCTCAGATAATTGTTTCATGACTAATATGTCAGTATGTATACTGTGCACTGTCATTACTCCACACATTGCCTGTTCAGTCTAGTGATGCTTGTACTTTTGCAGATTCTGTTCTGACCACGTAGTCCAGTGACGCTTGTACTTTTACAGATTCTGTTCTGACCTCCCAGTCCAGTGACGCTTGTACTTTTACAGATTCTGTTCTGACCTCCCAGTCCAGTGACGCTTGTACTTTTACAAATTCTGTTTTGACCTCCCAGTCCAGTGACGCTTGTACTTTTACAGATTCTGTTCTGATCTCCCAGTCCAGTGACGCTTGTACTTTTACAGATTCTGTTCTGACCTCCCAGTCCAGTGACGCTTGTACTTTTACAGATTCTGTTCTGACCTCCCAGTCCAGTG